TGCAAGTTAGAGGACCGCGTTCCCTCTGTTTTGAATTATTTAGTGTGTTATTTCGGAATCTCAATATATATGCTACTACACGTTGTAGTTTTGACAATTTTGAATAGTTTTTAAATAGGTTTAATGTATCTACTTGTACCAACACCGTTGTAGGTTTATGATGTAATTCAACTTCAACTTCTTGAGCACACGAATTTAAGCTCACGTTGTTTGTGATGTCTAGAGGCCAATTATCCTCTGGCAATTGCAACCACTCTGGGCCGACCCACCATAATTGTGAATTTTCTAGAGTTTTAGGGTATACGCCTCTGGATATGATATCCGCAGGATTAGATATAGTATTTATGTATCTCCACTCAGTACTGTCAGTTAATGTTTGTATTTCTGTCACCCGGTTGGCCACGAAAACCTTCCATGTACTTGGAGGTGATTTTATCCAATGAAGTGCGATCGTGGAATCGCTCCACAAAAACGTATCATTGATAGACAATCGTAATGATGACTTAACTTTATTAACAAGTCTTGCAAGCAAAAGTGCTGCGCATAGTTCTAAACGCGGAATGGTAGTAAATTTCAATGGGGCCACCTTCGATTTGGCGCAAAGTAACCTCACCTGGCAATTTCCAGCATTATCAATTGAACGTAAATATAAGCAAGCACCGTAAGCAATTTTAGATGCATCGGCAAATCCATGTATTTGTATTAAAACTGCATTATCACATACGACGTGACGAGGAATATGAATATTTCGTAAGTAATGTAACTGGCTATAGAACGTTTGCCAATCAGTCAAAATTTCTGCGGGTAATTCAGTATCCCATTCAATTTTTTGTAACCACAATTTCTGTAGCAAAACCTTTGCAATTATAATAACTGGGCCCAATAGGCCTAGCGGATCGTAAATTTGCGATATTACTGAAAGAATTGTACGTTTACTGTTTAAATTTGTATTATTAATTTCTCGAATGGCGTAACTTAACGTATCCGAATTTGAATGCCATAATAAGCCTAGAGTATGTGTCTCATTTTCCTTTCCGATATTTAATATGACGTTTGGCTGTGAATCGTAAATATTTTCTAATAATTTATTACTATTCGAGACCCATTTATTTAGTGAAAATTGACCTGTTTTCAAGATTAACGTTATTTCCCGATATAAATCCTGTAATTCATTAATGTTATCAGAACCTGTTAGCAGGTCATCGACGTAAAAATCGTTTAGAATAATTTTACTTGCGATGGGGTATGTATCTATATGTTGATTAGCTAACTCATGCAGACAGCGAATGGCTAAGAACGGTGCGGATGCTGTGCCGTACGTCACAGTATTCAACTCGTAACATTCAATAGATTTTGTTGTATCTGACCGCCACACTATTTGTTGTAACTTTCTATCATCGGGGTGTATTAAAATTTGTCTGTACATCTTCGTGATGTCACCTGCTAAAACATATTTATGCGTGCGAAATCTAGTTATAATAGAAAGTAAATTTTGCTGAATCGTAGGTCCTACAAACTGTAAGTCATTCATTGAATAGCCCGTATCGGTTTTACAAGATGCGTCGAATACGACTCGTAATTTAGTAGTCAAACTTGACTCTTTCTTTACAAAGTGATGAGGTATAAAGTAGCTATTATTATCAGGTGTATTTCGCGATATTGACATGTGATTTAGTTGTATGTATTCATTCATAAATTGAACGTATTGCTGTTTTAAATCATTATCGGTTTTTAATTTATTTTCCATTGCGTATAAACGTTTTAAGGCTATGTTTTTTGATTCGCCCAAAATATTACTAGGCAGTTTTAGTGGCAATCTAACAATAAACCTTCCCTCACTATCGCGTTGCGTTGTTGTTTTAAATATAGCTTCAATTTCCACGTCATCAGCTGACATCGGAGCATTTTCATACTCTTCGATTTGCCAAAATTTGGTTAATTGATTGTCAATATCGGAATTCGAAACAAAGTTGCAATGTGTTAGATAATTAGAGAACGACTGTGGAACGTCCCCTGAGATAATCCACCCAAAACATGTTTTCTGTAATATAGGACTATTACGACCTAATGAGATTTGTCCGACACGAAGTAATTTCCAAAATATGTTAGCACCGAGAAGCATATCCACTTCACTGGATTCGTTAAAGTTTGGATCAGCCAACGTAATATTTTTTGGTATATTTAGAATATTTTTATTGAAAGACAGTGACGGTAATTTATCTGTAATCTGCGATATTATCAAACAATTTATATCGAATTCGACCGACTTAGTATTTGAACGTATTTTGACATTTGTTGAATATTTTATTTTACTGTACGAGTTATTCAAGCCAGCGACGGCCATATTTATTTTTTGCTGTTCTGTATTTAATTTATTCGCAAGGTTTTTGCGTGAGGAAGTTAGACTGGGAACCAGCATGAAATTCCCGTGTGCATCTTGCACTTTAATTAATGCAGTCGCCAAAAGTACTTGACTGGTATTTATGCTAGTATGAACTGCTATTGTCTGATTATCAGGTTTATTTTCAGCTTCAGCGGAGTTATTTTGATTTATTGGTGCACTTGACTCACCCTGTATATTTTCAAAGTGTAGCAGACTGTGATGCCGCTTTTGACATTTTTTGCAATTTGAACTACGACAGTCAATATTTTTGTGACCGGCTTTCAGACAATTACTACACAGACGATGTTCTTTAATTACATTGTATCTTTTATTTGCAGGCAACTTAATAAAGTCGGGGCAATTATATAAGGGATGACTGTTTTTGCATATGATGCAATTTGAATTTACGTTTGAAACAAAAGATTTAGATTTCGAATTCTTGTCAAACAATGCCGACGGCGATAGTTTTTCTAATAGAGCGCATTTATCGCGTAGAAATTGTGTTAAATCGTTAACTGACGGTAGCGTTTTACCTTTTTGTTTACCCTCCCAATCGCGTCGCGTAATGGAGTCTAATTTATTTGAAATTATATGCACTATTAAAGTATCCCAGTGTTGCACCGGCTGTTCTAGAACTTCTAATGCTCTTATATGTTTAATAAATCCATCTAATAGCTGTCTTAATGCGATATAAGATTCCTTACTTACTACAGGTAGATTGAAAAGTGCTTTTACGTGGTTATTAACTAATAACACCTTATTTTCATACCTTTCTTCGAGGAGTTTCCAAGCAATGTCATAGTTAGCTGCCGAAATTTCTAATGAGTGTATAACGTCTGCCGCCTCACCCTTCAACGACAAGCGGAGATAATGGAATTTTTGCACTTGAGAAACATCTGAATTTTCGTGAATAATTGATTTAAATGTGTCTTTAAAGTAAAGCCACTGACTATAGCAACCGTCAAAGCTTGGTAAGTTGATAGTGGGCAATTTGACGTTACTTAATTTATGTGAATTTGATGAACTATGGGAAGATGAGGACTTATCAGCTGTTAATGTTGGTCGACTACTTTCAATGAGGCGTTTGGCTAAACTTACATAATTGTAATATTCGTCTTCAAACACTTGTCTCTCCAAACTTTGAGAATCAAAATTATTTTCGTCTAATAGCTCAATTTGAGTTTGTATTTCACAGAAATTTTCCCAATGGGATTCTAATTTATTTAAACGTACTTCTAATTGCAAAGTGTCAGGATTATTAATGTCTAAATTATTATAAAATGTTTTAAAACGTGTCAAATTACCTTTGAGTGATGATCTTTTTATTAGTAGTTCTTTAAGTGTTGACATTTTGTATCAATTTATTTTTTTTTTGTATTTGTGGAAGTGCAACAAGATGTGTTTTTAATTTTTAATTCGTATTAGTAACGAAATTTTTAACAATGATTTACTGTATTCGTATTTACCTCAGATTAAGGCATAAATTTATGTGATTAAACAAAGGTTATAAGAAGATATGAAATGGGAATTGACCGACAAAGGAAGGCACTGACCTTGTAGTTTTTATACGTATTTACGTGCTGCGCGCTGCGACTTGTCCTTGCAGGTGGCTGGCTAGCTACACAGCGGAGCTCGGGAACCAGGAACGATAATTATCCAAGGGCGAGGTATTGTTCATCCGGCTGCAGAAGAACCAAGAATGTAGGATGTGTTCGATACTGGAGGATCTCCGACCAGTCGAACGTGGGGATATTAGTTGTTTAGTAGCAATTTTATTTAAATTAAACTCGAAGGACCTTTTGAACGATGTTTATTATAGGGAGTCAAAATTTACACTGAGCGGGCACGTGCTACCCAGAACCTCGATACAAAGAATGCGCCGTTGCCGGCTTGTACAAAAAATATTTAAAACTAACTAAATTTGCAGAGCTGCAACAGGTATCATAGCTTAATCCTAAACACTTGTAACTGCTTTATTTTTTGGCCGATTCCAAACTTTTTTTATTAAATGTAGGATAAAAAAGAAACTATCTGTGATACTGTTTTTATTAATGCACTGCAGAAAGTAAAACGTTACAGGCTTGTATCACATTTAAGTGCGACACCCTGTACCTATGCAGTACTACTTATGTTTTTTATAAACCAAATAATGCATTACCTGTATAGAAATGTGTAATAACATAATAATCTTAAAATGGTTGAAATGTGCCTTACGTTTTTCTGGCCATTATAGTTTGTGGTAAAACAGATAAAACTTCGGACTGGAATTCCTAACAATCTGGTTTTTTAAAGACAATTTTCAGTATTTTAAAAAATAGAGGTACTTTGTGGTTACTTTTTACACAAAAAAATAGTAACATTTTTAAGCAAAAGCAGAGACCGTTATAAAAACCTCATTCATTTACAAAAAAAAAGTTTTTACACTATATTTATTCCAAAAAAACTTGTATGTTTTTAAAAATCAATTTCTCTTAAAACAGAAAAGTTGCTATTCATTATTTGATTACTTAACATAAAAACATTTATAGTGAAGCTGAATTCAATGTAACTACTCAAAAATATAATTTACCTTGAAGCGACAAGATAAACTGGAAAATAAGAAAACAATGTATACAAAAAGAACTACAAATATATTTTCTTCATAAATAAATATCGTACATCTTAAATTATGTACATTTAATACAAAAAAATTTAGAGATTAATGTCTCTTACTACGCTTCTTTGATTTCTTGGGACCTTTTACAAAACACCAATCCACACCTATAGTTTGACCCAACATAGAAGATCCATTTAATGCCTCTCTAGCAGCTGACGCCTCCTCATAAGTTCCATATTCAATTAATGCATAACCTTTTAAAAATCCTGTTCTTCTATCTAAATTTATGCTAATGTTTTTAATTGTTCCAAATTCAGAGAATTTTTCATTAAGGTCATCCTCGTTAGCTTCTTCATGTACTGATGTCACAAATAAAATCCATCCCTCTACTGATTTTTGAGGACCTGGCTCATCACCGTGGTCACCAGTATCAATAGACTCGTATCCACGTATTTTTTCATGCTCTCTGGATTCGCCGGGGCCAAAACCTCTTCCTTTCCGTTTAATGACTTTGTCTTTAAGACGCAAAACACTTTGCTCCCCTTCATCATCAACATCTATATCTACAGCATCATTAATATCTAATACATCTGCCATTTTCTGCTAATCAAGAACACTTTACTTATTATTTACTATAGAATTACTTATTTTAACCTCAAATTTCTACGCAAAGCAACGTCAACAAGCGAAGCCACAAGAAGGAAGAAGTTAGAGATCAATGATCATAGACCTAGTAGTTTATAAGGACTGTGGTAAAGAAAGAGATGCACGGTATGGTGGTATGGTACGTTCCAAACTTGATGTTTTGTACCGGTATTACAGCTTAACCAACTTTTTGACCCTGGGTGACCACCCCAACAACATCCCCCCCTTCCAGCAAACCTTTTCTGTTTCAGAAACCGCCAGGATCAAGAAACGAAAACAACGCCACACACACACACACACACACATACACACCCCCCATACCCTCCTTACCCCTCTCCACCCGCGCTAGCCTAAGGGCCACCTTAGCAAAGCGCATCCCAGGCTGCATAGCCGCACTACCCTGCCCAACCATACCACACAAACATGACACTACCCCCGGGGTTTACACAGACGAGCCGGCGAAGC